CGAATTTATAGAAATTGGCAAATAGTGAGCGAAATTTGGTCTGGGGGGTCGTCCGCACGGCGTGCGGCTGACCGTGCGGCTGACCGTGCGGCCTCCCATAAACTATCTGCCCGCACGGCACCATACTTCGGGCGCACGACGTGCGTCTTTTCTGTCCGAATTTTACTACGCTTCCTTCAGCAAAGTTGTAGGTAATGAAGTCGTCTATCCACTTAAACTTGAAAAATTGAGATTGGATCATCCATATAAAGGATATAAATAAAATGGTGGAAGGTTACATCCTGAAATCTCAACAGTGATTAGTTGATTTCCTCATCTATTTTCACCTTGATCCTCTCACATTCTCATCATGGTGTCTTCACGTGAGTTCTATCCCTTTAAATTATGTTTCACATGGAACATGAATCATGTACTTTGGATGTTTCTACAAAAAGATATGCTTGAACAATTGACAGAACGCCATCTTGATCGCCGTTTTTAAGCTTTATCCGTTCCCATTTGATCTCGTACTTGATCCTTGAGCTCTCTTGACTTCAAAATCACTTCTTTAATGAATCGTGGACCTTGAGTGCCTCTCAATAACTCTCAAATGTGTCTCGAGTCTTCCCGATTAATTCTCCAATGCCGGTGTCGGGCTCAATTTTGCTGATTTTAATTCTAAAAACATCATATACAAACCAAAACCCAGTAAACTATGACTTGAGCTAATTATGAGCCTTGCGACACATTTAAGCTAGGAAACTATCAAAAATCGATCTCAACACGCATCAAACGCGTGTTGAAATATGGACTTGCCATACCCCAATGGCTATGAGGCTCCGGCGGTTTCACATTTACACATAGGTTATTCCCCCGTAATGGAAAGATACAAAGTGATCATGAACAAGAGTCAAGGATCACTGCTGAAAATTGTGCATGTTTTCTTGCGGCATCCTTTTTTTACACATGAACAATTATATGTTGCAATTTCAAAGCTGGCAACTTCGTCTAGCTTATAGCTAGGGTGGGCCCAAGCCGATTTAGTTCCGGCTCCGGGCCGAGACCGCCTGGTCCTAGCATGTTTTTTATAAATCTTAGGGCCTACCCGTTACTTTTTGGGTCTGGGCTAGTTCTGAGTACCCAAACGGTTCAGTTCTGGATTCATTATATAGTTTTTATCCGATTTCAAGCATAAAAAAATGGTTGGCCCGGAATTGAAACCGGGACTAGAACCGTCTGGTTCGGTCCCCAAATAGGTGAACCAGGACAGAGAACCATTCTTGGGCGGACAGGGCGGTTCAAATACAAAACCGGAAATTCTGGAACCGGTCTGGTCCCAAATATTGTCGGACTGAGTCCACACAAACTTATTCGTGATATATGATGACGAAAAAATACGAAAAAGTGCAATCCATAAAAAGGTATTCATTCATTTATAATGTATGTGCTTACTAAAATTATAATAAACGTTATTATCTATTTATGATTTCTCTCATTTGCGTGATAAATAGTAATATATTTTTTAAAAACTTTTATATAGTAACATATATAATATTTGCATATTACACCCCATACAATGCACGTATGAAATGCTAGTACATAATATAGTAGGGAAAAATAGAGTCAATTGCTGACATTCAATACTAACGAGAAAATTTTCAAAATACTACGTATGAATTATTGTTTGCATATTAATGTTTTCAAAATACTACATACATCATAAATGAATGAATACCTTTTTATGAACCAAACCGAATTGATTCCAACCGAACTGAATTATTCAGTTCGGTTTGGTTCATATAATTTTAGGCTTTTTCTTTTTTCGATTCGGTTCATATAATATTTGACCGGTTTGATTTTGGTTCTGGTTCTTATGCAGGAACCGAAGTTCTTATACATTTGCATGAGTAATCTTCATTTGAGGTGCTTTTGGTAGAATGTTTTGATGAAATTTTGTGATCTTACTTTTCATTAAGTATAGATTATGTCCATCAAATTTCAGCTTAAAATTCAATCGGAAAGTCAATTAAATATATTATTGAAAAACATCACCCCCAAAATATATATAGAAACACAATGTTTATCAATAATTTTTTAACTCACTTTCGGATTGAATTTTAATCTAAATTTTGGTTTCATGTATAACATCCTCACAAAATTTCATCAAAACATTATATTCGGGAGTACCTCAAATGGAGGTGGCCACACGGCGTTCGGGTCAGATTTTTTTTTATAGGAATATTTGTCTTGCATAATATACTTTATATATTGTGAACCAGGCCAATCCGAGTAGTTGTTATTTTACTACTTTAGTCCAATTTTATATTTATTGTTTGTTTGTAATTGTATTTGTTATTTGAGTCCACCTCAAAAATGAATTAATGTTGTTGCTGATTACGTTGTTATTTGTTTATAATAAATCACTAATATTACCGGTCAGTTTATAATTGTTTATTTTTTACTTATGGTACAATACTAATATAAGAATATTATTTTTGGGTTTCATTATATACATTAAATGTGTACCTTGAAACTATTAAACCTTTTTGCTAGGTAGTTATGCCTATTTTAAACCTTTATGTTTTTTATGTTTAAATTTAGGGAAAGTTCCTGAAATAGGACTAAAACAATTTGAAAATTCCAAAATAGGATTGTGATGTTTTTTATTCCCAAAATAGGACTAATTACTACCATGCTTAGAAAATATAGAAATTGCCCTAAATAGGAGCAAAACGTTTTGAAATTCCAAAATAGGAGTATCATGTTTTTTATTCCCTGAACAGGAGTAATCTGCCAAGTTTGGAAGAAAATGCCATGTTTAAAGCCTAGTAATGCCATGTTTGGCAGAAATTTACTCCTATTTAGGGAATAAAAAACATGATACTCCTATTTTGGAATTCCAAAACTTTTTTACTCCTATTTAGGGAATTCTCTCTAGAAAATACTGCCATGTTTGAAGTCTGGTATTGCCAAAACATGGCAGTAATTAGTCATATTTTGGAAATAACTTAGAAAATACTGCCATGTTTGAATTCTGGTATTCTCTTAAATTTAATGTCTGAACTTGGATATTTTTGTGATATTTGAACATTGGGGATCATAACTTAGACAATTATTTACACGATTTGAAATTTGAATATTTTTATATAACTCAAGGTAAAATGTGTTAATTTCACGGGGATAATAATTTTTTATAAGGAATTGAAAAAAGGTACGAACCGAATCGAATTAAACTAGAATCGAACTGAATTTAACAACTACATTTTTTACTAGAACCGAACCAAATTTAAAGCCTACAATTTTAATACGGTTCTATTAATAAAAAACACGATTCGATCGAATTTTAATAAAAATTGGAGTAATCCCAGGCCTATATAATCATACTATGACATTATCAAGCAGTGAAAAGATGGCAGTATGGCCTAAGTATAACCAGTTCGTATACCGTGGGATCATCCCACGGTGAGCACCATGCTTGCTCCACTCCCAAAACGACGTAGTTTTGCACAAGTTTTTTTAAAAAAAAATCGCGTGAATAGTACACGCATGTACATTAACTTTTTTTTCTTTTTGTCCCTGTAACATGAACAATGTAACTCGCGTGAAAAGAAATGTAACTTACGTTGATAAGAAATGTAACTACAAGCAATTGTAAATGTAACATGTCGAATAAGCTTTATAAGAAATAAAACATTGATTTCAATGAAAACAAAAAGTTTAGTTGCTCAAATACTTTACATAAATAGTGAACATGTTTTTTTATATTAAGGCCACAAGCCCACAAATAATGTTTTTTTTAAATTCATTTTTTTTGTTGCAAAAAACACATTTTTTTGGCAAAAAAAATGATTTTTTTTGTTTCAATAGCAGGAGCTTCTTTAAACAGGGAATGTGTTTTATTCTTAATATTATGAGCATAAAAATGTTTTTTTTAAAAATAACTTGTTTTTCCAAATAATTAATTTTTTTGCCAAAAAATATTAATTTTCGTGATGTAAATTGTGTATATTGAAATGTAACTCGCGTTCTACTAAATGTAACTTCAGTTATGAATAAATGTAACTCATGCTCTGGAATGTAACTTTACTCCTTTCAAAAGTTATTCTCTTGCTGGTTATATACGGAATGTAAATCATGTATATTAAAATGTAACTTTAAACAAGTTGAGATGTAAATCACGTTCATTGAAATGTAACATGGTGAGATAGGTCGAAATATAAATCCCATTGGTTCCAAATGTAATTGGGGCAACTCTAGCCTCTAGTCACGGTTAAGAATACGGTGAACTTGCCGGCTAGACTGCAAGCAAGGTCTCCTAAATTACTCGTCGATTTGAAATACGATTATACGATTCACTACACGCCTCTGTTCCAGATTTCAGCAGGCGGCAAATCAATATCCATGGCGACGACACGGCGGAAACGATATCCAAGGCGGCAAATTCCAGGTTTGTGGACTGCTCAACTATCTATAATACATATATACAAGGTATAATAAATGAATTTGATTGAGCAGGGAGGTTCATGAGGATTCGTATCAATAAAGAACTTGGATTATTTGGCCGCAGGGATTGAACATACGCCGGAGAAGACGATGAGTTTCTCCACTCCCTGTTTTAATTACTAAAGAAAACGTTGTCGTTTGGGATCGGCACACCATGCTCATGGTGGGCTAATCCCACGGTATAAATTGGAATGTATAACACTAAGATTTTTGGATGACTTTATTTAGTCACATTTAGAAAAGTGCTTTTTTCACTCCTATTTAGAGAAATTTCTATTAACAATTGAACCAGGACCAACATCGAGTACTCAATCATATGCAAATTTGGTAATGATTCGATGAGGATCATACAGCCCGATTCTGGTCCTCGATGTCTAAAACATTAAACATGTATAAAATTGATCCAAAACCAGACTGAACAATGGTATAATGCATGCATTACTAGTGAGTAGTAAGCAACAATTCTAGTTGAGGTTCCCCCCCCCCCCCCCCCCCCCCCCCCCCCCACAATTAAGGATCACCACAACATTTTACACACTCAAGAATACGCAAAATATATCGAAAACACAAAATATATTACCAGACTATTTTACAAAGCCATGGTCACTAGCTAGACAACAGACTCTTTGGTCTAGCACCTCGGTTACTCGGTACGCTCAGCCAAAGCATTGGTGGGACTGGGTAAGGTCAATTACCAATGCAAGCCAAATGTCTAGTCCCAACTACTATAGGGTGGAAATTCTTAAAACACAGACCACAAAGCATTTAACCTATACAATAAATAGCCACAATATAATCCATCCTAACTTGATGTTCTAAAACAACTCAAAGCCGCCTCTTTTTAGCTCAAATAGAGAGAGAGCAGCGGAGCATCTGTTAGTCACTTTTCCCACCACTAACTTAAGCTTAGTTAACAAAAACTGCACTAGTTAATTTCATTAGTAATTACTGAACCTGACAGGTTAACAGTAGAACCAAAGATGTTGTGATTGCTATCAGAGGAAGAAGAAGATATACAACTGTCCGGGCACTGGCATTTGGCAGGTAGGGATATAAATCTGGTTGCGGCATTACACAGTTGTCACCATTGAAGTAAATCCTCCGAGGGAACGCCCACCCTTTTTCGAAAGTGAACTTTGACTTATCCTTCTGGAAGATCATCTCAGATTGTACATTACCTAAAGGCCCAGCGTGCATAAGTAGATCATTGTAAAACTTGATTCCCCAGAGCATGGCAGTGTCGTCTACAACAAATCAACTTGATTAGATTTCTAACATATGAAAAACATACAGATTATACTAGGGCCCATGGGATAATTATTTGGAAGATATTGCTGAATTTTCTTATAAGAAAAGCATGGGGTAAAATATATTCCAACCAAATAAGTCAAATGCTGCTTGTTCTGATTATTCACCTCTGACACCAAGAATGAGCTGATTAGTCAGACCATATAGGCCTTATGGCTTGTTTGCTTAGCGATTTTCAGAGAGGATGGAAGGAGAGGAGTGATACTTATTTTTAAATAATTTCTATACATTACTGGTTGAAATAATTTGGGATGGAAACAATATGTAGGAGTAAATGATCTAACTTAGCATATAGCTATCTCTAATTCAAAAACAACAAATAGTTAAGAAATTAGTCTTCCCCTTCCCTTACTCCAAAATCCCCAAACCAAACAAGCCCTTAGCATTGCTGAGAAGTTAGTTTACTTATGGATTCATATGGCATTATTGGCTGATAGTTGAAGCTGAAAATCTGAGTGAGATTGTCGAAGTTCGGGTGCTGAATGACAAGATTCCATTGTGAATAGTTCATTCTGTAATTGAAATTTGTAACCGTGACCTTCACCCTCCAGTACGCTTTATAGTTGAGCTTAATGTGCCAATGGATTCGGATGGGACACATATGATCAGTACACTGGACCAAAGGTGCCAAATCATTCCTTCCTGAACTTGAAGTTGAAAGTGTTGTAGGCACATAAGTAGATCCCGGTCTGTAAGCATTAGAAACCATGAAATCCATGTAACACTATGTAACCTGGGAGATGTCTTTAAAATTTGTAAATATAGCCCCTTAAGTGTTACTGCTCTGTACAATTTAGATGCTGTTAGGTCTTGTTTGATTCGAGGGTTTCAGAGGGATGTGGAGGGAGGAGTGATATGCATTTATTTTTGAATAATTTTTACATTTAGATGGTTTGGAATAAAGTGAAGATGAAAATGCTATATAGAATTAAATGATTTAAGTAATCATATAGTTATTTCTAGCCTAACATTAACGAACAGAGATACATTAGTAAAATAAAAATCAACTCTCTGATTCCCTTAGTCTCTCTCGTTAACATAACCGAAAAATATGGAGGGCATTATCAACAATCTGAAATCTGAATGGTGATTTTAATGGGAAAACTTACTGTGTCGCAATTATAACAATCCAGAGGCTAAGTTTACAAAACCCTAACGACTGGTTCCGGATTGCATAGCATGAAACAAATGAGACTAAGTGTGATTTCCCCCTCAAGACTACTATAGTTAAAGCTCTTACCTTATGCAAGTCCCGGGTTGATTTATGTTGTTTTCACAGCCACAAGTACAAGTGGGGCAGTGGATGATTGTATCATTGTAGAAGGAAGACATTGATACACAGCAAGTTGGCGTCTTTTGCGCCAAGAATTGTGAGTATGTGCAGGTCACTTTCCATGTCACTGCAACATAAGTAAATAATCAAATGGCAAGTGAAATATGTGCAGCTCACAGCCCTGTTATGAACTTCTGTGGAGCTGATGATTTCTGAGAGTACACTTGTGGAGACATTTTGAATCCTTCAAAATACTACGTATATTTTTTACAATAAGAAAGGGACGGTCTCAAGTCTCAACTTTTATGTCATCAGCAACCATAAAGTTTGCATATTTACCTAAGGCACGAACCAAAAAAACTTATGTGCATCAAATTGGGTCCGTTTGGAACTAGGAAAATGCGAAGGAAACAAAATTTGGAGTAAATATGGAAGGAAATGAAATATGGTGCAAAATTAAAACCAGTTCAAACTCAAATAATCAACTAATAAACTGAAAGATATTCAAAAAGTGATACATGTTCAAACTCAACTCCACGACACTAATAAACTGAAAGATATTCAAAAATTCAAAAAGTGTTTGAATTTTCCGAGGAAATTCCATGTTCCAAACATAGACATAGGATTTGGAGAAGGAAGGTGACATCAAAGGTGTGCAGCACACTTACTCATAGCTTGAGTAGATCTCCTTTTGTCAGGTGTCATAAACTTGGTCGGCTTCGCATGTTTAGCGAGCCCACACGTATATCCTGGACCAGGAGCCTTAAAGGTGAAGTTCATGGGGAATACAACAGTTTTATTACTCGTCCCAGCTTGACCTACACTTATTTGGAATGCACTAATAGAAGTTTCTGGATCCTGCACCCACGAGTTAAGGACTCCGCCGCGACAGCAATTTGCAACCTGCTTGTTGTAAGGAGTACTTGGCATCAAATCTACGATTGTGGGGTCCCTCTTACAGCAATGAGGGATGTTTGTTTTGAACTTTGAACAGTCTCCTTGCTCTGTGGCTTGACCACCAACCATGTCCCATATTATTTCTTTCTTTGCCCATTTCCATCCCAATTTCCATCCAGGTGCTTGGATATGACGATACCTCTGGAAGTTGTTCACAGTGACCATAGCCTGTTGATGATTTACGGAACATAACATCAACACGCTGCATATGTGTAGTTTGATAGACCGTAAGCCCATAATAACATGTAAGAGTAAATATGTAGTATAAATATGTAATCAAACACTGTATATTGTCATATTGTAAATTTACACCATAAATGCATTTGATTACAAATGCATTATATATTTCTATTACATATTACCAAACTACACCTGCATGTACAAGGGAAACAAAAGTTCATAATGATTTTATGATAGAATCTCACTGTCAAGAACTTAAGATCAAGGGTACTTGTACTCACAAGATATCCATCTGCGGTCCAGCTAATAATATCCCATTTTATTGTAATGTTTCCATTTGGATCTAGCGGATCATAAGCATCTGCAAGGAGACAAAATATATCCAACCATTCATTCTCAAGATCAAGAAATAGGGACATCAGATTTGCTGAGATTACCACAGTTCAGCTTTCGCCTCGAAATGACTTCTTTTTCAAGCCCATATTACTCACCAGACAAAAACTACAGCACTCACACAGTCCAATTCAATAAGCTACGTTTTATATCTTCTATCATTTCAAACATGATTTAATTTAGTAAAGTTCCAGGTCTGTCTATGAACTCAAAACTGAAGGTATACCCATTCTGCACCTGACACCAGAAACAAAACATAAACTAAACTTCAATGTTCTACACTCTATTCCCATATATAAGACTCATTACTTGATTGTTTAGTAACTTGAGTTGAAAATCTGGGGATAGATTACTTGTTTTAGCATAAATGATGGAAATAATTGAAATAATAAATAATGACAGAAACATGATAAATTATGGTAAAAGAGCCACCAATGCAATTTAATATACCCTAGGATATTAGACAACTGAGGTTAAAGAAAGAAAATTGTAAATAGTTCCTTTCATAATACGGAGTAACATGCAAGAAGTTTTTGCCAAAAAAACATGCAAGAAGCCATTTTTTAATTGAACCACGGAAAAGACAATAATAGCTCAAGTATCCAAATTCTTTCAACAAGGGAAACTATGTTTTCAAGAATAAAGCCCAAATCCCAGATGCTCGTGGAAGCTCATCATTATTTAAAACACGTCCACCCAGAACAAGGAAATTTTCTTCAAGTCCGGTTCCCAGCACTTAAATACTCTGAAACCCAGAAATTAACCCCAAAACTACTTAAAACTATCCTTCGTTAAACATTTAAACACAATGAAGTCATAATCGGGTTTCACTTCTTGAAAAATGAACCCGTAGAGAAACGTTATACGGAGTATTTACTTATTTGTTAGTTCCTTTTTCAAGATTATACTCCAAAAGAAAACAGAGAAAACCGTTTTCTCTGTTTTCTCCAATTTCACCCCGGAGGCATTAATGGGGATGACGATGATGCTGAGAAGGACAGACGGGGCAGTTCGGGGAACTGACCTGTAGAGCTAAAGCAGATAAGAGAAGGCCAGAAGGCCAGAAAAATGGCATGGCTGATGAATCTTGAGATCGACCATGGTGATCCATTGCTGCATGAACCAGAGAGCTCCATTTTCTCTCACGACACAAAAACGATAACACTCCAGAATTCAAAGAAGAAAAAATGCAAAGTCGCTAGCCAAAAAGGTTTTAAGTTTTAGCCAAGGGGTGGGGGCATATACCAAGATTTCGTGTAGGGTCTCTCGGAGTGGGAATGTGGCGTTGCAAATGTGGAAACCCAATTTATGGCGCGGGGTGGGAGGGCAGGACCACAAGCTGTAAGGCCAACTGTAACCAGTAGTGTTATGATCTATATATAGCTCATGCTCACGAGCTCATCCTTGCCTTTTTTCTTTTTAGGCATCTCATCTTTCTTTTGACAAGGTCATGAACTCCCTTGAAACGTATGGGTATATGAGAAGGGATTAAGACAAGACTAATATTACTAAAAAATGAACAAAAAAGTGACCTTTTTTTAATTCCGATAATGAGGCTAAAAATAGATATGAGGACTATTACACTCTTGTTAGGCTAGGCTGACCCATATAGTGACCAATAGTACAAATTAGTTAGTCAATTACACTTATTCGACCCACTAGTTACAGTTTCTCGATCCGCCAGTTACGGTTACTCAATCAATCAATTACAGAACCCGATTCGTCAGTTATAGTTACTCGGACAAGTCAATTATAATTACCCGACCCACCAAATGCAGTTACAGTAATATTCAGTTGCAGATACATCTCTAACTATTATGAATATTACTCCTAAGGTTGTGTGTCATAAACTCATAATATATATTTTTTTTGTATTTTTGATTTATTACTTTTTTAATTTCTAACTTTTGAATTTTTATTTTTTAAATTTTATAGATCTTTTAATTTTTTATTTTTAAAATTTTTAATTTTTTAATTTTTTAATTTTTTACTTTTTTAATTTTTTTAATTTTTATATTTTTTGTTTTTAAATTTTATTATTTTATAATTTTTAAATTTTTAAATTTTTATTTATTTTTTATGTTTTAAAATTTTTAAATTTTAAAGTTTTTTTTATTTTTAAATTTTTAAATATTTTTAAATTTTTAATTTTTTTATTTTATAATTTTGAATTTTTATTTTTTTATATTTTAATTTTTTAATTTTTAATATTTTTTTTTAAAGTTTTTTATATTTTATTTTTTAAAATTTTTAGTTTTTTAATTTTTTGGTTTTTTAATTTTTTAATTTTTTAGTTTTAAAATTTTTTAGGTTTTTTAATTTTTAGTTTTTTAATTTTTTTAATTTTTTAATTTTTAATTTTTAAATTTTTATTTTTAAATTTTTTTATTGTTTAATTGTTTAATTTTTAATTTTGTTTTATTTTTTAATTTTTTAAGATTTTATATTTTCTTACATTTTTTCTATTATAACGTTTTGTCAATTCACGTAGGAGAAAAATGATGGATAGTTTATCTTTATGAACATGTTTCCTCCGAAATACCCCGATTAAGGGTGTTAAGAATGGGAGGAAGTTGAGGATTTTGGAAGCTTTCGACTTTCCTACCCTTCCTCCATATTTCCGTCAACCAGACACACACAAATCGCTCACTTCCCTATCCTCCCCTCTGAAACCCTCCAACCAAACAGAGCCTTGGACTTTGCTGATGTGAGGTTGCTAATCTGAGCCGGCTGATTTAAGGCCATTGGTTCGAGGCCGTTGCCTTTCGAGCCTGCTCCTGAGTCGATTGCTCCTTAAGTTCGCTGCTCTTCGAGACCGTTCTCCGCATTTAAAATACTTTGCAAGTCTATTCGTTTAACCTTTGTTTATTCCATATCACATGTTTTCTTATTGAATTCTTCCGGAATATATTTAGAATGTTGGAAATCATTATTACTAGTAGAGTTTGAAAAGACAAAAACATGAGTAATTTTGTCAACATTATTTAGAATGTTGGAAAGAATGACTCAAATATTACTACTAGAGTTTCAATAGACAAAAATATCATTAATTTTAATCTAGACAAAAATATGATTTATCCTTTCCATAACTTTCCCCTCTCGCATCCCATCTCTTTACTCTCTCCCCGAACATCAATTCCAGACCGCCTCGGCTCCCACATTCGAAGCTACCAGGTTCGCCTCTCTCATTCCAGGTATGTATACTCCGTTGAAGACGACGTAAACCGGCGAGAACAGCGACACTCCGATGGCGGCGACTAGCTTAGCTGACTCCACCTCCAAAATCTATGCTGATTCCACCGCCTAATTCAGCTTCTTCTCCTTTCTTTGTTGTCTGTCGCTGCATCTCTTCTAATTATCTTCTTCTATTTTCTGGTTTCTCGCTAAAACGAGATCTGAAAGTGCGAAACTATGGCCAGGTTTTGTTTATTGGTATTACACAATTGAGTTTGCAACTAAGAATGTGCGATGTAGGTTTAATTTGGGGCTTCAATTTGGGTAGGGGTGGGCAATTCGGTTTACGGTTCAGTTTTCTTCGGTTTCAATTTGGCTTCGCTTTATTCGGTTTGGGAGATTTTGTACCAAACTAAAACCATTTGAAGACCCCTGCTCCATTATGGGTTACCCATGTTTCGGTTAGTACTCTAAAGTCCTAATTAATATAGCATCATCAAAATCTAATTACAATTATTCCTTATCACAATAATTCAACTTCTAAACCGAGCACCACTGATTTTAGAGTCCCAGGAGTGGAGTTGAGGTAGAACTCTGCTACCACTTCTGGATAAAAGTGTTGATAGGGGTAGGTGGCCATTTTCATTAGGCCGGTTGTTTCAAGTTTCCTTAGTAGTTCACCCATCGAGTCACTGTTGTTGCCTTTGTTCATGGTGACGACAGTGTTTAGAATGGAGCCGGTGAAGACAGATTTGGAGATTTTGATAAGGGTGGCCATTTGATGTTATGAGAGTGTGTGTGTAGTGGTTGTAAAAGTGGGGTGGTTAGTCGAGAGCTTTTGAGAGCGCTTAAGAGTTTAGAATAGAGTGAGAAAGAGATTGCAAGGTAAAAGTGTGAAGGAGTTGTACGGAGGATGTATTTATAGGCTATCGGGAACTAGTCGTTGGGATATAGCCGTTGAAGAATACGGTTGGTTCCTCTTTGTATTTACAGTGTTCACAACGGTAGCAGGAGGCTCAAGCTTTGGTAAGTTTTGATATTTTTTGAGAGCAAAAGTTACCTCTTTGGAATCCTTGATATTAGAGGATCAAGATGATGTATGCCACGTGCTGAGATTCCTTGTAGTTTTGCCAGAATTTGAGCCAACTGATGTACTGATACAAGCCTCTGCTCCTGAGGCAGGCACCTGCTATCAAGCACCAACTTGATTTTTGTGAACCAGTGTTTTGCCTCCATTGTTCCTTCCGTATTCATGCTTGTTCTCCACTTGCTGAAAGTATTAATGCAAGTCCTCTCTTTGCTCAAGTAGCAGTGGGCTAGATGATAGTCAACTGCTGAGTCCACTGTTGCTAGATTGCAGTCACCTGCTGAGCCTACTGCTTGAATTTTTATTCCTTCATTTTTGAAAGTCTGAGATAGACTTTCTTGGACCTTGATGCTTCATTCCTTGTTGATTTTGGGTAGCTTATCTTTAGCAGGTGGCTACTCCTTAGTGCTTTATAAGAGTTCCCCCTCAGCAGGTGGCTTGGAATTCCCCCTTGATTTCTGAATCAGGTTCCCCTGAGTTAGTATGGGTTTCTTCCTTCACTTGATCAAGATCATCTAACATACCAAGCTCTTGCCTTAGTGCATTGAATCTTGCTTCATTCGGTGGCTTGGTGAATATGTCAGCCAACTGCTTCTCTATAGGGATGTACTCTAGCTTGATGATCTTCTTCTCAACATGTTCTCTAATAAAGTGGTGCCTGATCTCAATATGCTTGGTTCTTGAGTGAAACACAGGATTGTAAGTGATTGCAATAGCATTTGTGTTATCACACAGGATGCTAATCTCCTTTTCCTCTTCTCCATAATCCTTCAATTGTTGTTTCATCCAAAGTATTTGAGCACAGCAGCTGCCTGCAGCTATGTATTCAGCTTCGGCAGTGCTTGTAGCAATTGAGTTTTGTTTCTTGCTGAACCATGAAACAAGTCTTCCACCAATCAATTGACAAGTACATGAGGTACTTTTTCTATCAATTTTGCATCCAGCAAAGTCTGAGACTGAATAGCCATATAGCTCAAAGCCTCCATTTGTTGGGTACCATAACCCAGAGTTAGGATTACCCTTTAGATACCTCAATATTTTCTTTGCAGCTAGGAGATGGCTTTCTTTAGGCTTTGATTGAAACCTTGCACACACACCAACTGAGTAGGAAATATCTGGCCTACTGGTGGTAAGATATAACAAGGAACCAATCAAACCTCTATAAAGTGTAGGATCAACAACTTTGCCATCTTCATCTTGACTTAGACCTTGGGATGTATTCATGGGAATTTTCACAGTGGATTTGTTCTCAACCTTGAATTTATTCATGAGATGTCTTGTATATTTGGCTTGGTTGATGAAGATACCTTGTGGAGTTTGCTTCACTTGTAGTCCTAGGAAATAGTTCAACTCTCCCATCATGCTCATTCCAAATTTGCTTTGCATGAGAGTTGAAAATCTCTCACATAATGCTTGGTTTGAGCTTCCAAAAATTATGTCATCAACATAGATTTGAACAAGCAGTATGTGGGGACCTTCTTCAATTTTGAATACTGTCTTGTCTACTTTGCCTTTAGTGAACCCATTATTCACTAAATATTCACAGAGAGTGTCATACCATGCTCTTGGGGCTTGTTTGAGTCCATAAAGAGCTTTATGTAGTTTGTAGACTAGATCCTTCTCTCTGTCGACTTCAAATCCAGGAGGCTGCTCCACATAGACCTCCTCTTCTAGTAGACCGTTTAGGAAGGCACTTTTCACGTCCATTTGGTAGACAGTGAATTGCTTATGGGCAGCATAGGCTAAGAATATTCTTATAGCTTCAAGTCTAGCAACAGGAGCAAAGGTTTCATCAAAATCTATACCTTCTTCCTGGCAGTAGCCTTTGGCTACTAGTCTTGCCTTGTTCTTGACAATTGTGCCTTCCTCATCCATTTTGTTTCTGAACACCCATTTAGTTCCTATCACATGTTGATGAGAGGGTCTGGACACAAGCTCCCAAACATTGTTTCTTTCAAACTGGTTGAGTTCTTCTTGCATAGCTTGTATCCAGTCAGAGTCAAGTAGGGCTTCTTCAATTTTCTTGGGTTCAGTTTGTGAGATGAAGCATGAGAATAGTGCTTCTCTC